TGAATTATAAATCTTTTAAGAGATAACTAATCTGCTTTAGCGCTTATTAAGAATTTATATATATATAATTAATTAAAGTATATTAATATTATATATTATTATGTTAGGGACCTTGTATAACATAATAAAATCAAGATTAATTACATCCTAACAGACAAGATAATAGCTAACGAACTAACTAAGCCCCTTATTAGATCACTGTTTGATAATTATGTGTCTCTACTCAGATTGACAAGGTCTTAGGACAAGTCACAAGCTGATTCGGCTTAAGAGGAAGTGTTGAGAATGCATGCTAATCAGCAGACTATAGCCTACACTATTTGGCTGTATACATATAGCTAAATATTGCCCGGTTAGGTTATTCCTAATCAGGTATAGTGCAGGATTTCATATGCTAGTGGCATAGGATATACCATGTGATCCATGCGCTAGCAGGATCTGCACTTAGTATGCAGATGCATTATAATCTTACTCTGTATGCAAGTTATAACTATTAATAGTATTAATAGCTATTCCTAATCTATATACCCGTTCAACAGTTTTATTAATTTTAATATATAAAATCTATAGAAGCCTTTTTTTGATGCTTTAGAATAAGTATAATACTTATATAAAGGCTATAGTGCTTCTATTATATTTAAGACAGGAGTAAGAGAGTTTTATACTCTGTTAACAGTTTTTAGAGAGGGTTTTATCTAGCTTAATAAGGTTAAGATTAATATTTTAGATAGGGTTTTTCAGTGATTTTTTGAGCGAAATCCTTTGAATCTATATAAAATAAAAGATTAATAAGATCTTCTATATAGTTTTAATGCTGATTTGTGTCTTAATTACTAGTTTAAGTCGTTTTAAAGCCATTAATAGCTAAATAAAGCTTATAGCTATTTGTAACAGCTAAAACATTAAAAAACTCTTAGAAGAAATTCTTAAAGATTTTAATGAAAATAAGTAATAAAGACAGCTTAAAGTTAATTTACTTAATCTACTCCCCTTATATAATGATTATAATAATTAATAAATAAGCGAATAAGAAGAATTTTAGTTACTTAGTCTCTCAAGAGTTTTTAAGTAATTATTAAATTTGACGCTAATTTCCGTGGTCTTTTTCACTCGTGTTTCATTAATTTAGGTAAAATAAATCTGCTAGTTATTTATATCTAAAAATTAATTTATTAGCTTAAAAATAAGGCGAGATATGAAATAAAAAATAAATAAAAAATAGAAAACTTAGTTATAAGTCTATTTGAATCCTACTATAACTAACAAGCTATATTATAAATAATAATAGCTTTTAAATAGCCTTATTCTAATGCTTTATTTGTAATTTTGAGTATTAAAAGGCGAGGGGGATAGCCAGCAGCTAATTTTTGAACTATTCTAGTAATAGTAATTTCACGCTCTTTTAGTGCTTAAATAGATTTTTATAAAATAAACAAATTATCTAAAAATATATGAAAATTCAGCTTTTTTTGCTTAATAAATAGAGCTAAACATGAAACTAAATAAACAACAACTAATTATATAGAATTCAAAAGAGTAGTTTTATAAAATTTAGAATAGAAATAGAAATATATTATTTAGTAACTAAAAATCTCTTATTTAACCCTGGCTTTGTGTATTCCCAGTTAAAAATATAACCGGAATTAGCTTAAGCAAAGATTTTAAATCCTGTAAGTATAGGCTTGCCAGGAATAGTAACTTTTTGTGAAGCTCAATCTTCGAATTTAATTATAACTTTATTAATAGTAATATTTGTGCTTAAAAGCCAATAAAAAGCAGATTTTTAATAAAGAATAGATATAATAGAGTCTAATTTATCCTATTAATTAGCCTTTATAGAAGAAGGATTTTCTCTTTTATCTTTAAAATACAAAAATAACATAATTTGTTTAACATAATGCTTCAAAATAAGAGAAAACTAAAAATTTTGCGCGGACTTTATAAATATTAATAAATAGGCTGTTTATAAAGTGCTAGAAGTAATAAATAGCTAAATAATTAATATAACTTAATAGTAAAGAGAGATTTCTAAGGATTTTAAGTAGAATTATAATAAAATATAAAGGAATTTGTCTCTTTAATAATAAGAGACACAACCTCCCAGTTAAAGAAGAGCTGGAATACGGCTAGAGGGTGCTAATATTAATTGTTAGGAAGATTCTGAGGCTCAGAGGGATGTTCAACAATCGGAATTAGTTAAAAATCAGGTAATAGTCAGAGAATTTTATTGATTTAGCGGCCCTTAAAGTGTTCTTTAGCTTCTTCTAGGGGTATTAGAAGATTATCTAGCTGGGTACTGGCTATGAAATCATCAGAGATAGATGGATCTAATAGAATCAAGTATAAATAATAAAATAAATAAGAAAAACAGCTAAAAACAGCTAAAAACAGTTAAAAATAAATAAAAAGAGCTATTTTTGCTTACTTATATGATTATTTAGCTGATTTTTTGTCTATTTCTTTAGAATAGGCTTTGCTTTTAGCTCTCTATTTATAGGATTTAGATGTAAAGACTCTAATAGATAAAGAGAGCCACATTTTTAATGAATTTTAAACTAAAATAGAATCTTAATAGAGATATTAGGATCAATTAGCCTTATTTAAGGGCCGGAGTCAATTGGAGAGAATCCCTTATAGCTATTAGAGCTATAGCTATCTAGGAAAGAAATTTGGTCTTGATTCATTAAGAATTAAGTGTTTTAAGAGGCTTTTCGTATATGTTCTAAGCGTAGAATACATGAATTTAAGGGATTTTTGATAGAATTCGGCTAGTTTTTAGCGCTTTTCATAGATAGCTTGCTAATAATACACTTATGTAAGGCAATTAAGGCGCTAACACTTGATTCTAGTACTGATTAAGCTAAAATTTGTAGAGAAATTATCATTTTAAGTAATTATAAAGATTTTTAATAGTTTTTAAAGATTTCTAAATAGAAGAAGCTAATTTAAGGTTATAGAGTTAATTAAATAGATAAGGCTAAGGGCTAGTATTAATTTAAACTAATTTCAAGTTGATTTAATAAAGAAATAAAAGAATAAAAGTAATATAAACTAATAAAATTAATTAGTATAAGATACTAAGTTTTTATAAAAACAAAAAATAAAAAAGCTTTAAAATCTTAATTCCTTAATAGGTTACTTATTACTTATGTTATAAGTCTTAATAAGCCTTTTCCAAGAGGTTATAAATAGATTTATATTATATATTACTTATAAAGTTACACGAAAATTAATTCAAAAATTTCGCTTAATTTAGAAATTTACGCCAAGACCTGCCAAGAACCCCTTTTCGGCTATACAACACGGCTCTATATTTTATTATTTTTTATTTTCTTTCTTTATAAATAGTATTTATTTTAACCTAAAATTTATATAATATTTAAATATTCTAAGGGCTATTAAATAATATTATTTATAGGTCTTTAGTACTAATAATTAGTTTAATGTAGCTGACTTAAGTTTTACTCTTATAATTTACTTTTAATATTCTTAATGCTAAGGCTATAGCTGAATCTTAATGAATTTTAATGTTCTTAATGCTAAGGCTGCAGCACTCTTCTATAATTTTGATGTTCCTAATACTAAGGCTACAGAAATAACCCCACTGTTAAACACAGGTACCTCTTAACGCTAAACTCTACAAGGAAGACTACTTATAACAGAGATTAATCAGAGTTATAAGGGATAGCTACTTAAAGTTTTACTTTTATAATTTACTTTTAATATTCTTAATACTAAGGCTATTACACTCTTTTATAATTTTAATGTTCTTAATACTAAGGCTACAGAAATAATTTTACTACTAAACGCAGGTACCTCTTAATATTAAACTCTTAATAGTAGAATACTTATATAAGGGTCTATTTAGACTTATAAGAGATATATTAACTAGAATAAGTAAAAATTAGCTCTTTTTATATTAATATATTATTAGTATTACTAGATAATGAGAATGCTTATTAGTTATATTAAGTAATATAGCTTAACGCTAATATAGCTATATAGCTAATAATCTTTTTATAGAGCAGCGTAAGCTGCTATAATTACTAAGAGGATTTGACTATACATATATAGCCAAATTCTAAAGCGGCTTAGCGCTACTCTAATATATTATGTGTCCTCATTTTCTATGCCTTAGCAAAGGAAATCCCTATTAGGTAGCTACTAAAAAATCTATAACTAATTATAAATAATTTCTTAGAATTCCTAATTATTGTTTGCTACAAGCGCGAGACATATAGTACTAGTACTTGCAAAAGTTTACACTCTTAGGCTACTCTTCTCTCTTATTTGTCATTATAACTCTTGTCTTACCAGCCAAATCGATTTATTTTGGGCCCTCATCTCACCCTCTATAACTTTACTTCTTTACCTAATTCTTGATCACAATTCATTAAACATTGACTGTTTGTTATTTCAGAAAGCTGCGCTTGTGATCACTTAGCTGCTCACTAGATACAAGGGTACTAGTAGTCTAGATTCTTGAACAAAGAGAAGCCCCAAAGAGGCTTAGCGTGACCCTGGTCATATGTCCAAAGCAATGGGTGATATAGGAGTCCAAGGCAAGGGATAATGCGGGGTCACGCCCCCACTTTGTGTTGCACACTGAGCTGGCTACCTTCCATCTAAACCTTTTAATCCACTCGATTCTTTTCCCTTTTTGAAGCCTAGGTTATGTCTCTGACTGCTTCTTGTGAAACCACTCTCAATTATTGTGAATTGTGTAATACGGATTTACCGCATAAGGACGACTCTAATTGCTCCGGTGACGTGATTGGAAAACATACCATGGTAGCCTTGCGCCGTCATCGAACTTTAGATTTGACTAGGCAAGCGCTACATCTATTAAGTTCTCCTCAACCATGGTATGTACAGTTTGAAGCCTTCTAGTCCATATGAAGAGTCGGTCTAACACCTGGGCGACTTCGAACTAACTTGCTCATGGCGTCCGAGATTTCTCTAGATTAATGACTAGCCAAAGCTGACCGAGGACACAGGCTATGACCGATCGGAATTATCTTCGAAAGATTGTTAATAGGGAGAATGCGAATCTAGAGTAAGTCTAGTCGAAGGAAAATGGTTGCCTTCGCCTCGTTTATTTCGATGCTTTGCTTTTAGATACATTACAGCCATCTTAGGTTACTGACTAGCATATAAGTATTGTCGCAATCCATGGTTTAAATCCGATCAACAAGGCCTTCCATGCCGAGGCGACATGGACGGCCAATAACGGGAAAATGTGGCTGCAGGACTTCCTCCCCACCCGCTTACCTGATGCCAGGATCTTCCTCTTCGGCTACAACTCGAATGTTGCCATCGAGACCTCGACGGCCGGCGTCAACGAGCAGGCTGAGAATATGCTCAACCGGTTAAGCTTTGAGCGCAAGAATGTCCCTTCGCAAAGACCAATCATCTTCATTGCCCATAGCTTGGGAGGCATCATCGTCAAGAGGGTGAGCACGGGATACGTCCACTTCTCAATGAATATCACTTTCTATTTGTGAATATTAGACCTGCGTGGTCCATCCTTATTCTATCTCCATCCTAGCCTAGATTCCTGGATAGTAAAGAGTCAGGAATTGTTATGCCCAACAATATGGTCGAATTCAAGGCTGGAAGTCACAGTATTGTGTCAGAGTTGTTGATCGACCTGATCCTGACAGTTTTCGCAGGCGTTAGTCGAAGCCAAGCTCGATGATAAGTATCAAAGCGTCCGAGAAGCAACGTTTGGGCTTATTTTTTTCGCAACTCCTCATCGTGGAAGCGACCACGCCAAACTCGGAGATATCGCCGCGAAAGTTGCCAGAACAATACTGCGGAGCCCAGTCAACACATACATGGACAGCCTAAAGAAGAATTCATTGTTTTCAAAGAACCTTCAAGGCGAGTTCAGACACCAATACGAAGATTACTCAATCTTGAGTTTCTATGAAACACTACCTGTAGAGAGATTGGGCATAGTGCGTAGAGGTTGTAAGACATTCGTGACATGGAGCTGACCAGATACATAATAGGTTGTGGACAAAGAGTCAGCGACACTTGGTCTTTCAGGGCACCGAGAGACAGCAATCGCTGTTGAAGCTGACCATCAAACTATTTGCAAATTCAATGAGGCAGAATGTCCTGCTTATAGACAAGTTGAAGATAATATTGCTGATCTCGCCGAGCGGGCTGTGTGTATATCTCGAAAGCGGCTGCTCCAGAAAACTCTGCAGATTCCAGCAACTCAGATGGTCGTCGAGCTTCACAAGCGAACATGTAAGTGATACGAGAGTCAAAGTACAGGGAAAGACCAAGTACTTACACACTATCCAGTCTTTGTCCCCTATACTGAAAATGCTGATTTCGTGGGTCGAGAAAAGATTCTTCAACGTTTGATTGAGATCCTCAGCCCCCAGCACGGACGGCAACGACGAGCAGCCCTCTACGGACTAGGCGGTGTCGGGTAGGTGCCTTGCCTGGATGAAAGGTAATAGAATACAACTAACTGTAGTAGTAAAACCCAGATTGCCATCAAATATGCCTACTGGTGTCATGAAAATCAACCGAACACTTCTGTTTTTTGGATACACGCCAGTAACTTTGAACGCTTTCATCAATCCTTCATAGAGCTGGCTGAAGGATCGAACATCCCTGGAGCAGACTCTCCAAAGGCAGACGTCTTCGAAATCGTACGAAGCTGGCTTAGCCAGAAAGAAAGCGGCGACTGGCTAATGGTTATTGATAATGCTGACGATTTCGGTATGTTTTTCGATCCTCTGGAGGAGCATGCGCGAAGATCTCTTGCCGGTAAGCTTGTAGACTACATCCCCGATTGCCCACACGGTGCGATCCTTCTAACCACAAGGGACAAGAAAGTGGGCATCCAAATGCTGAAAAGCATACGGTGTCTGATCCAGACCCCAAGAATGGGAATTTCTGAATCTACAGACTTTGTGCAGAAGATTCTCGCAGGTGAAGAATACAAAAATGAGGAAGAAATTAAACTGTTGACAAGTACTCTGGAACACCTACCTCTAGCTCTCGCCCAAGCCGCAGCCTTCATTTTGGAAAACTCCATCAGCGTGCAGATCTATTTGCAGCGATATGGAGACAGCAAGGCCAATGCTGTCGATCTTCTCGGTTACAGCGCTGATGTTCCGGTAGCAGATGCAGACGCTCGGAACGCAGTCACAACAACATGGATGATGTCTTTCGCGCAGATTCGAGAGCGAAGTCCCATGGCAGCTGATATCCTGTCGCTTATGGCTTTCTTGGATCGACACTGTGTCCCAGAATCTCTTATCAGAAGACAAAAGACGCCCTTCTCAGATCTAGAATTTGAGAAGGCGTGTGGAGTTCTAAAAGCTTTTTCTCTGATCGACGAGAGACCCTTGAACATTCATGGCGAGATGCATCGAGCTTTCGCGATTCATCGCATGGTCCAACTGGTTACTCAACAGTGGCTTGAACTTCATGGTAAGTCTAGCCAATGGGCTGAAAATGCCCTAATTGCAGTTTCGCTAGTCTTTCCGCCAGAAGAGCACGAGGACTGGAAAAAGTGTGAGGCATTAATGCCCCATGTTCAAGTGGTGCTTGATAGTAAGGTAGAATCACAATTGGGGTCTCTCTCAAGAGCAGCCCTCTTGCACAACGCCTCCTCATATTTTCGAGTAAAAGGCTATCACAGGCGGGCCGAACAGGTGGGTGTTGAAGCCGTGGCAGCCAGGAAACAGTCACTTGGTCTTGACCATCCCGCAACATTGGCAAGCCACACTAATCTGTCGAGAATCCTTCTCGAGCAAGGCCGACTTGAGGAAGCAAGCCAGCTGCATATAGCAGCAATGGAGGCTGCTGAGAAAACAGTTCAAGAGGATAATCAAGACATGCTTCGCGCAAGAGCTCACTTAGCAGCTCTCCACGGTACTCAGGGCCGACACGAGGAGGCCCATCAACTACAAACGCGCGTGGTGGAGAATAGCAAGAAGTCAATAGGCAACGAGCACCCCGACACGCTACTGGTCATGCGTGACTTGGCCGTTACCTACACGAATCTGCAGCTGTACGGCGAAGCAGAAACACTCCATAAACAAGTTTTGGATATCAGAAAAAAGGTGCTAGGCTCGGCCCATCCAGATACGCTGATCAGCATGATCGATCTCGCCGAAACCTACAAGCTTCAAGACCCAGTCAACAAAGCATCTCAGGCGGAGAATCTCGAACTGGAAGTTGTCGAGAGCCGAAAGAAGATCTTGGGGGATGAACATCCGGTCACACTGCAGGCGATGGAAAACCTTGCCATGACATACGAATGGCAATATCGGTATAGTGAAGCCGATATCCTACGTGAAGCGATCAAGGAAATCAGCCAGAGAGGCTGCGAACAGACGGATAACCATGCAATGTCTGCACTACGGACCAGGAGTCCCCAAATTCTGACCTACAAGCATACGCAGCAGCAAAGTCGGCCGCCAAGATATAGGAGTTGCCCGATGAGGAGCGAGTCTTGCGACGGTGTGCTTTTATGCGATACCGCGGCGGAGAGTGGCAGGAATGTTGATATACAGGGGATGAGCAGTATAGTTGGTCTGAGAAGGTCTCCCATCGTCACCACAAGTCCCAATGATGGTGGTGTCGGTGTTGGGGTTGTTTCTCCTGGCATACATAAAGAGCTAGGTGAAGAGGGAGCTGTTCCTGGCTCGGTGCTTGGCTCACGTCTCACCCTGTCCCCCTTATCATCATCATCATCACCATCAACCTCGTTTTTCAGGGCTATGACGTCGCCCGTAGATGACGAACAATCGAGAAATCGAATTCCGGCCCCAAGGCTTCGTCGTCGCTTGTTCAGTTGGCAGGCCCCGTCCAATGAACGTGAGGGTGAAGCAGTTGCCAGCGGTGGTGATGGAGTATGGAGGAGGAGATGGAGCATGGGTAAAAAGATATAGGACAGATCGATGGCAGGTGAGTTGCTACTGGAGGGATGACGTCTCTGCTGGTCTCATGTCTATCAACACCCAAAGCAGCAACAGCAAAAAGATGATTATTGATCTTGAGATTCCGATGGCTTCGTCGCTACAAATTGTGAATTAAAGGCATCGCTTGGTCGAACGCTTCACTCGATTTAATACTTAGTGAATGATATTAACGAGGCACAGATTCACTGGTGCCTAAAATAACGGTCGAACTGCGGGCTAGTTGCAAATCGTCCTCGCTCTTTCTTCTATATAGAGATTTCCACTCGAATTTTTAGCAAATATGAACGTCACACTGGCAATCGAACATACAAGATAATACCCATTGCAAAAGTGTTGCAATTCCTTGGCGCATGCTGGGGAGCTGCTGCTGCTTGGGCTGTTCATACTGAATTTATGGATAACAATCAGAATGATAAAAAATCTATACTATTTAGTAGTTATAAATCTATTAATTATAACTGAGCTTCTTTTTCTATTTTACAAGTCTAATTCTTACAGAAGATGTATATAAAAGTGTTTTACTAAGTAGTAATTCGTTATTAGAATGTTAGGATGCGACCTTAGCCTAGTACCAAGGGAGACCTTTAGTACGGATCGGAACTGATCTACAGTTACGCCGAAAAGTATCCGACCAAAACCACGTTTTTTCTACACACGCGTTTTTCTACTCCTTTTGCTAACAACAACCATGAATCAACACAGGGCTTTGGCGCCTCTAGAAATTAACAGAAGCTATAGCAAGGAGTTATCTCCATACTAACGGGGTCAAATTTCAGCGTACAAAGCTCAAGGGCTGACAAATCAGCAAATAAGTGAGAACTTGTATTACAGCAAAACTACTGTTTTTGATAATCTTATACAAAATCCATTACGCCATAACAGCAAAAGCTTGCCTTGAAAAGGACGACCCCCTGCCTTAAATTGCGTTCAAAAACGCAATATTCTATATATTATATAAACTAATCTAAAGATTACCTATCACACATTAGCCTTTAAACTTAGAATAAAGGTTTCTTAATTTATTCTTTATTAAATACTTAAAAATAAGGGTATTACTAATTAGATTAGTAAAAAGAGACCTTTATTAACTCCTTAATTAGCTGCTAAACGCCTAGCTTAGTATTTAAAATAAAAAGATTAGATATAAAATAAATAAAGCAAGATAATATTTAGTAATAAATATTTGCTATAAAGAGGCTCTAAAGCATATTAGAATTAAGTCTTTTATATACTATAATAATATTAGAAGAAAGATATAATTAATCCTTATAAGAAAGATAAAGACATTAGTATTATAATATAGGGTGCTATTTATAAAGAAGATTATTTAGATATTATTCTTTTAGAGTGTAATCCTGATTCAGAGAAATCTAGATATACTACTAACTTATATCTAACTATTCTTTATAAGCAGATCCCTTAGATTTAAAAGCCAGGTCGCAAATTTATGCAGGATAACGCCTAAATTTATACTGCTAAAAAGATTATTAATTAGTTTAAAGAAAAGGGAATAGAAGTAATAGAATGGCCAGCCTATAGTCCTAATCTCAACCTAATTAAACACCTTTAGGCGTAACTTAAGCAATAGATTAATAAGCATTACTCAGAGCTAATTAATATAGGCAAATTAGAACAAGACTATTAACGTTTGTTTAGCGCTATTCATGATATATAGGACTTAATTAGTAAAGAAGTTATACGCAATTTAATTAAGAGCATAGATACTCGCAGTAATACAGTGATATTAGTAAAGGGTTGGTATACCAGATACTAATATCTGACTTTCTATTCAGGAAAATTGGTTAGCTTTATTCCCTAGGTATTAGCATACAGTTTAAGCTATTTTTTAGCAAAATCCGTAAATTCTGAGAGTTGCTATAGTAATTTGTATGAAGGAAGTGAGAAACGTTAGTGGGGTGCGAAAGTGGGGTTGGTCGGATACTTTTAAACTAGTACTGTAGTAACTCCCGATCCTAGTAACTTCTGATCTTGCAATTACGGATCCGAGGCCGAGAGAGTCTCTCGGCTTGGAGATATAAGCTGGCCCGAAGCTTAGCGCCTGCAATGGCTCGAAACTAGAACAAGTCAAACGCCAGCGGGTAAGGCCTATATATGCGTAGGCTACGCTATAGGCCACAGAGCATTTATAGTTCCTAATCTGGCCTCCTGCTATATAGTGAAGTTTAGGCTTCCCTAATTAAGTAAGGCAAACCTCTTTATTCGTAATCTGTCTAGATAGCTTATATACTTTAATAAGCGCCTTATAGCAGGAGTTTGCTTACTGCTGCAAGTTAGTTATAGGCGTTGCCTCCTGAGTATGTGGTTAGCATGTGTATTTCTTGTGCTATAGTAGAGGAAATGCATTATCTATTACACTACCCCCTCCTTTAAAAAAAAACGATTACTCTTAATTAAGAGCATAAGAAAGCAAGTCTACTTTTATCCTAACGTTGCCAAGTCTAGCAATTCCTTATTTAATTAGTCTGATATTTGACTGTATATATATAGCTAAATCTGTCACGTAATATCCCTATTAGATTTTCTGTACTTAGCTTTAAATTAATTAATTAGGCACCTCTTTTGCTAGGTGCCTTTCAAAATAGTCCTTAAGCAGGTCTTCAGAGCCCTTAAAGTTTGAGATAAGGTAATAGGTCAGGTTCTCTGGCCAGCCTACCCATCTTGCTTGTACCTTTCATGCTTTGCCCACTCTCTTGACGTCGACTATATCTTCGACCTCCCACGCCTCCTCTTCTTCTGTCTCTACTAGCAGAGGCTGTGGGTACTCCTGCCCTAGCAGAGGGTTAGCAGGGTCCTTGGTCAGCAGTGATGCATGGAACACATTGTGAATCCTTATCGACAAGGGCAGTTCTAAACGAAAACTCTGCCTAAGCCTCTTCACAACAAGGAATGGCCCAATCCATTTCGAATCAAGTTTCTTGCAAGGTCTTGTTGTACTAATGTTCTTTGTTGATAGCCAGACCTTATCTCCTTCTTCGAAATCGATTTCCTGGCAATGCTTATTCGCCTGCTCTTGTTGCCATAACTACGCAGTCTTCAGATACTCTTGTGCTTATTTCTAACCCTTTTTTATTAGCTTTGCTAGGTTCTTAGCCTTCTTTAAGACTATATGTTTCCTTACTGTCTTTACAGACTTAGGCTTATTAAAGCTTATCCTTAATTAATATCTATATATAATTATAAATAGTAATAGCTATATAGACTTAAATATTGTTATATTTATAGCAAATTTAGCGCTTAAGAAAAGATTATTTTAATTATCTTATACAAAATCTATATAAGCTCTTAGGTATTATTTTATCTCTATATTAGAGACTTTTGTCTAACTATTTATTTATAAATAATAAACTATAAATAGCTTTGCTTTAACTCCTAAGATTTAGTATTATTATTTCTATACTTTACTAGTAAACTATAGCCCTTAGTCAGATATAATTATTTATAAAAGCCTATAAAGCTTCTATATATTTCTATATAATATTTTGGCTATTTCCTCTGAAGTTATGCCCTTCTCTATAATTATATAAGAGATATAGTAGCGTTCCTTACTTAACTAATTAATAATTATTAGAATAGTGTTATAGCCTTCTAATATTAGTAATTCTATAACAAAATCTATTAAGATATTCTGCTAAAGGTGCTTAGGAATCAGAAGAGATTATAACAGGCCTATAAAGAGCTAATACACAGATTTAGTCCTCTTATAAATATAATAATTCTATAAAAATCTCTTAACTAATATATATTTATTTAAGATATAGTACTTACTATTTGTAATGACCTTTCTTATCTTTATATAGCCTAAGTGCCTAGTCTTCTTGCTTTTATAGATCTCTTAAATCACGTCTATTACTATTATTACTAGTACTGCTAGTTTTTCTTTATACTATAGTACTCCTTCCTTATCTTTATAATTTTAAATATTATACTTAAATATTTTCTTCTTTAGGTTCTCTATTCATTTCTCTATCCTAATTATGTTAAAAGTCTTGTCAACTTAATTCTTTTTCTCTACCCTCTTCTAGAGCGGCAAATCTTCCTCCTCTAGCGACGCCTATACTACCGAGATCTCTAGGTCGTCTTTCACCTCCTTAGATAGCATATCTAATTACAGAAGAGTCTAATACAGATTAGGATCCTCTTTTGCTCTTAGGATCTCAGTTTCCCTTTAAGTTAATATGTTAGCTTTTCTGTTAGCAGCTCCTAAGTAATATCTGATCTTAAAGTTATATTAAGATAACAACTCTGCCTAGCATGCTTGCTAATGTGTTAGCTTCTTTATTAATATGAAATACTCTAGAGCCTTATAATCTATAAGTATTTAAACAGGATTCTCTCTTAGCAAGTATAGCTCTAGTAATTATTCCTTAAAATAATAAATAATAGCTAGTAGTTCCTTATTATAAATTACGTAATTACGCTTTACTAGTGCTATACTTGTTAAGAAGAATGCTATAGGATAGAGTTCTTTATCCTCCCCTTATTACAAGAGCACTCTATTAACTATATAGTCGCTTATATTATACTCTATAACTGTCTTCTTCTCAGGGTCGAAATAAGTAAGGACTAGCTCCTTTAAAACAAGGTCCTTTAGGGCTTAAAACGCCTTAGTACAGCGGTCATCCTAGGTGCGCCCCGCATCCTTCTTTAACAGGTTATTCAGCAGTCTTGCTACCTTGCTGAATCCTAAGCAGAATCGTTGATAGAAGTTAATAAACCCCAGGAATCTCTATACTATGTAGACATCTCCTGAGTTGGGTTTCTCTCACTCCTGAATAACTCATACGCGCTCTGGATCTATCTGAATGCCCTTTAGAGTCACGATTAATCCGAGATACTTTACTAACTATGTATAGAACTCGCTTTTCTTGATGTCAGCCTAAATATTACTTTTGCAGAGAATCTGTAAGACCTCTTGTACATGTTACTTGTGTTCTTCTCTTAATTAGCTA